ATTGTTAGAATCCCTTCAAAGACAAGTCCCCCCGTTATTTTCCCAAAACCCCGCGCTATTTTCCCAAAACAAAGTCTCTTTCATTACCTCGTCTCCTTCCAGTCTCTAGTTCTTTTCTATTTCAGTATATCTCTCTTTTCGTTCTTTTCATTTCTAAAATTTTTGTTTCATTACCAGAGTCTCTCCATTGGGTAAGCAGAAACCCTAAACCAATTGTGGTAGGTAAGCTTCAAAGCTCTCCATTAGGTTCCAGCTATTGTAGCTTCAATTTTGATTTTGATTTCTCTTCGAACTTATATTCATTTTGATTTTGATTTCTCAGATTTTGATTTCGCGTTAGGATTTGTGTCTTCTCCTTCGAATCTCATCAAGTACTCCAGGTTTGTGTCTTCTTCTTAGATTTTCAAAATCCCCTGTTTATGATTCTGAAATTTGAGAATTGAACATTTGGGTGGTTGCGATAAGATGGCCAAGGTAGCGAATCTCACCGTCTGGAGGTAATTATCTGCTGGCCACGGAGACTGACCTGAATAGGCCGCTGTTCCTCCCGAACTTCCTGAAAAAGGTGCTTCCGATCGATGCTGACCACTGGAGGTAATTATCTGCTTAATTCCTTCGAATGTCTTGATTTTGGAGCTGCATTGCTTATGCTGCTAAATTCAATGGTGCAAGAGTTAGAATAATTCTACTGATTGGAATTCTTTGAATGCTTGGTCTTAATATGTATTTGATATATGTTAATTCCATCTATAATTGACACTCTCAAGAATTGACAGTGCGATAGACATTTTTTTTTTTCCTTTCTTGATAGCTCACTTTATTGATGATTTCGATATTAGCTGTGCTGAGCAGAGTTTTATAGCTTTGACTTTTTGTGTTTGTTGCTGTTGTTGACTTGAGATGGCTTCATTTTCAGCTCAAGGTAAGGGTGATTTTGTTCCGATTTGATTTTCTCGTACTTTCTTTCAATTTCGTTTGTGTTCCGAGAAAATTTATAAAATTTTTCTTTTTTGTTGAGTGATAGGTAGAGGAGGAGGAGGAGGAGATGTTCTGTATACAGAGCTGTGGAAAGAAATAGCGGGGCCACTGGTTGAAGTTCCGCGAGCTGGAGAACAAGTGATGTATTTTCCACAAGGGCACATGGAACAAGTAAGTGGATTGTTTATCTTCCAATTTCTGTTTTTAGATGGGTAATTAAATTATTCTGTTTATGGAAAAATAATTGAGTGTTTTTTGGTGGGAATTGTAGTTGGAGGCATCCATAAATCAGGAGCTGAATCAAAGAATTCCGCTGTTCAAACTTCAATCCAAGATTCTGTGCCGTGTTATTAATGTTCACCTGCTGGTGTTTGTTTCTGTTTTGTAATTTTTATTTTTATTTATTGTATGTTATGTTACTTGGAAAGTTTCATTTATTTTTATGGGGTTAGTACTTGTCTGTCTTATCTTCAAAAAAATTAAGAGGAAAAAGAACAAAAATCACCTTAATGCATGCTTTAAAAATATAGTAGTTTAGTTTTTTTCAATAAAAATTTATTGAAACGATATAGTTTTTGGATGATTTTCCTCATAATCTTTAAGAGGTAAGGCTGATAAGCATTATTTTTTATTTTTATTTTTATTAGATTATATATATATTTATGTTCATTTTGAAGAGAAATTCCATTTATCTTTTAGTAATTAGGTTTTCTGGATGAATGAATTATGCCTTGTTTGGATAGAAAATAGTAAAGGGAAGGGAAGGGAGGGGAATGGAGGAAAATAAAAGGAAATGGAGGGGGAGGAAAAGAAAGGGAATGGAGGAAAATAAAAGGAAATGGAGGGGGAGGAAAAGAAAGGGAAGGGAAGAAAATAGAAGAAAATGATTTGTGTTAATTTTGTTTGGATAAATAAAAATGAGGAAGGGAAAAGGAGGGGAAGAATTGTATTATTTTATGTTTGGATAATTAAGGTAAATGGAAGGGAAAGAAGGGAAGGATTTAAATTAATTTTAAATTTACAAATTTACTCTTTACGCTTGTAATGGAGAAGGATATAATAAAAAAATTAAGGTTAATTTTGTAATTACATTTAACCTAATGTAAATAGTCACTCAAATCCCTCCCAAACCCCTCAAATCGGGCGGATTGCAAATCTGCAGATTTGAGAGGGGTTGAAGGGAGTTTGAATCAGTTCATCTCCCTCCCCCTCTGCCTCTTTGAAAACCCAAACAAGAGGAAGGAGACAGCCCCCCCTCACTCCCCCTCCCTTGCCATCTGTCCCCATCCCTTCCCCTCCCTCTCCGTCCGACACCTCCAATCCAAACAATACCTAGTGTTTGTCTTTATTTTTTAAGTGACTGAAGATATCTATTTTCTTGGTCTCCTGAATAAATTGAACCGTTAAGATCATTGATTTGGAGATAATGTATCTCTCTATTAATCATTCTCTCTGTAGGCTGAACAAGAAACTGATGAGGTTTATGCAAAAATAGCTTTGCTTCCTGAAGCAGCTGTAAGCTCCACCGTTTTCTTACTTCTTTGAGTTATTGGAATAGAAAATGTTGGATTTTACTTGCTTTAATATTAGTCAACTAAATTTTACCTAATGTTATCTGTAGCAAACTGAGCCAACAACACCAGATTCGTGTCCTCCTCAGCCTCCAAGACCTAAGCTGCACTCTTTTTCCAAGGTTTTAACTGCTTCTGATACAAGAACCCATGGAGGTTTTTCAGTTCTCTGAAAGCATGCCACGGAATGCCTTCCCCCACTGGTACTGATTTTAAGGTTGCATTATGCTTTTAGCTCCTTTTGTTCATCTACATGAAAGCCAACTTTATTCAACATATTCCATATTCGGACCTTCTTCAGGACATGAACCAGGCAAAAGCAGTAACCTTTGTAGTCTAGCAAGATGATAACTAGCCAGCCATGTCTATGGACGTATGTGCATGATTATGTCACCAAATTATTATTATTTTTTAAGTTTTTTGTTCCTTTTAATTCTTTAATTAGACATTTTTCCTACTACAGACTACAGTCTGAATAATCAGAATCATCCATGGATTGGGCATGGTGAAATGAGCTTTTATTGTGGAATGGTTTTTATTTAACAAAAATGTATTGAAATATATTCAGTCCAATCGAATTATTAAAATTAATTTTTTTAAAATGCAGAAATCTAATGTAAGAAGTTATTTTTTAAGCTCATTTAAGAATAGATTAATTTAAACTTACATAAAAATTAATTAAGAAATACCTTGATTGTCTATTAAAAAACAAAAATATATTGAAAATTTTGGAATATGCAGATAGGATATAAACCTTTTAAATGCAAGGGGGTGTAAATGCTGGATGGAGGGTAGTTGGAGCGGGATGGTGTATGATCCATAGAAATTTCAAAGCTTCTAATTACATTGAATTGATGGACCCCTAGCCCTCAACGCGGCGACACTTTAGGCTGACCTAAATGGCTTAATGGTTCAACGTACAGATGTTAAAGAGTATGGCAATTTGGAACCTTTAGATATTCTAACAATAATTGATTGATTTTTCTTTCTTTATGTACT